AGGTCTTTTCCTGATGTTGATGGCTGCTATCTGACCACTATGGTGGTTTCGGAAGTTTGGGTGGCTAAGTCAATGTCTTAAAATAGACAGCAAGGATATTTGCCACACTGATGGGTGTTTTCATTTTGCAAAAGATTTCTCAGTAGAATGTGACACTGTTTGAAAGCACTTGATTCACAACCAAATTTTCTCAAAACTAACATCAATCCATGCAAATCTTCTCACCCTATTATTGAATAAGCTGAAGACAAGGTTGCTTACATCTTTTGTTGTTATTTGAACATGCTTCAGAGCCACTTCAGCCATAGAGTCTACCTAATAAACTAATCTGTATGAAGCAGCTCCTCCTGTGGAAGAAGCCACAGCTCTACAGTGAAGCCTTTCCAGAATTTCAATTGACTGTGTGCATCAGGCAAATTGTAGTCTCACAGCAGAAGACTTATAAAACAATGATACTTAGGTACCAAGTTTGTATTTTTTTTTTATGTCCTGCAGAATGGATGTATAAACAGGTATATAGTGAACAGAAAATTACCTTTCACTGTCAGATCTTGGGTGTTCAGGTGCAATGTCACTGAGCAGTAATAATTTCAAAGGACTGTCTTATTCCTTTATAGTTGACCCCTACTGTGAGTTTAAAAACTTCAATAAACTATTTTCTAAACACATGTGCTATCTATCAGCCTTTTTTCCCATCCATTTACAGAACACAGGAACAGTAAATTTAAAATGCATAGTGTCCCTAGGAATCTCAGGATGGTATGGGAACCTTGGCTTCAGTGTGAAGTCACCAGCTGTATTAATGCTTTAGTCCTAACATGGGTGTTAGTCTGATCTTTGAATTAACCTCTCTAGCTATGGAAGTCCTTTATGCTGTGTAGCCCTGAGTGCTGTACTTTGAAAGTCTGCTATTTAATGTACTCACCTTCCTCACTCATTAAAAAAAAAAAATCCTCTGGAAAACATGCTGCAGTTTTTACATCAAGCATTTGTTTCACACTAAACTGATTTTTGTCATTGTGTGGTGGGGACAATTTCCTACCTTAAACCTCATGAGTCAAGTCCTTTCAAAATCAGTTTTGTAGTTTCTTACATGTTCCCAGCCATTATCAGGTTGTAAAGAGTTACAGTCTTATTTTGTATTAGTCTTTGACCGAATAGAATGATATACCTGGTTTGATCTCACAGACTATTGAATGCTTCTTTACATCAGCACCAAGCTTGGCTTGTTTACTTGGCATTTGTGAGCGCATGAAGCAGCACTTTTGATGTCTCCAGGTGCCTTTTTTCCTTTGCACTGACAACTTGCTAGGGGTTTGCTTCAACAAGCTTGGTGTGCAACCTACCTGAGCTCTTCTCACGCCTTCCTCTCTAATTCTGGTAAAAAGCAAGAGGCACGTGAATCTTTCACTTGAACATTTACAGACCACTTTAGGGATATTGATTGGCCTAAATTCAATGAGTTGGGCTCGTGGCCTAAGGAAGCTGAATGAAAGGGACATGTGGAAGAACAGCCTGAGGAGGTAGCAGGCAGAGCATAATCATTGGGGGCATGGTTTCTGATGACTTCAAATAGCATAGTTTCATCAAAGACAATAAACCATAGATCTTTAAAACAGATACAACAGTTAAAAAAAAAAACTTCAAATATTTTGACAATTGGCAAAACACAACACAAACAGAAAGACTGAGGGAATCCCTGCTACAGGACAACAGCATTCACAAATGTGAAGACCATTCCTGAAAAGAAACACGCCTTCCACGGAACCTTTTATAAGGCTGATTAACTGATTAGAATCTCAAAGATGTGGATAATTTGGGTTGTTGCAAGTCAACAGATAAAATTATCTGTGGCTTTAACACTACTCTTAATAGACACTTCCTCTGTCCATGACCTAATATCTTTACAGCCATCAGATAAGTCCCTTGGAATGTATGAACAAAAACCTAGTTTATAACCACTGAAGGGCCAAGAGTGATGTCAGATGGCATCTGAGGCCCACAGCGGAGACTTTCCTGCTTTGCTATAGTCTACCAGCTAGCATTTCTACAAATATGTTTTTTGTTTATTTTTGTTTTTTGTGACAGGGTTTCTCCATGTATTTTTGGTGCCTGTCCTAGATCTCACTCTGTAGACCAGGCTGGCCTCAACTCACAGAGACCTGCCTGCCTCTGCCTCCCGAGTGCTGGAATTAAAGGTGTGCATGACCACCTCCCAGCTACAAATATGTTTTAAAAGAACCTTGATTTGTTGTCTTGCTATAAACTCACCAGTGCTTTGGAACACTGAATATGGGAAAATCTAAATCTGTGCTCCTGGGTCATGACCACTCATATTGGTTCCAGAATAATCCATCTCTCCTCTTTGAGGTGAGAACTGTGTGTTTACATCAACACAAACTGGATTCAGAGTTGCCCAAACTTTCCATTTCTAAATAATGCAGTGTCTGTGAGATGCAATAAAAGAAAGTATAGTTAAATAAGTCATGCTTATAGTCCATCTGGCTCTAGTTTAATACAAAGCCTGAGACAAATATATTTACTTAGATTTTTAGCAATTTTTGTGCCTGTTCTCTCAATAAGAGCAGTGGAAACACTGAGGGATATTTGCTAAGAGTGAAGGGAAGGAAGTAGGAGTTAGATGTTTGTCAGAAGTAATTAGCATCTCATAAATATATGGACAATTTTAAAGAAATAAAAAAAGTGCTGGTCTCATATAACAAGTGCATATATATTTTGTGTCTTAAATATATATATATATATATATATATATATATATATATATATATAATATTGGTCTTAGAATTACATACTTGATTTTTTATCTCTTTCTAGATGAATTGTGAAAGACTAGAGGAAATTTTGAAAATAAATTTTAAAAATGATCGTGATTAAAATACACATGATAAACTGAAAAGAAAAATTATATCTGAGCTAATTCAATGATTAATATTTTCTCTGACAATAAATGAGGGGAGTAAGAATTTTGAAATGAACCATTCCTTTCATAGTTAACACAGAGGAAGACCATGACCACCCATGCCAAGGCTCTCACAGCACTTTTCCTGTCTCTGTTCTGTACCCCAGTGACGTCTGTCATCCCTGTAATATTTACTTCCATAGTCAAGAACCTCCTGCTTTTCATCAGTAGAGTCTGTGATAACTCACTGTGACTACCAACTGACTCTCACATACTTAGCCTGACTTTCATGACCCTCCAGTAAGTCTTCCTGCAGAGCAGTGCCTGGGTCCAGCTTCCCAGGCTGAATTATGACATCACTATCAGCTGTGTGTTGGGCATGGTAATTAAAACTGTGTCTTTTTCTGAGAAAGAGGATAATCACCTTAACAAGCCCATGTGTTCACTGTTAAAATTAAAAGAAATAACCACAAAGTGCCCTCTAACAGAGCTATTTGAGTACTGAAGGAACAGGAGACTATTGTTACCTCAGAGAAGATGGTGATTATGGTCTTATATTTCCAAACTAGAGCTTTCTAAGACAGGAATTATTGTTCCCATTTTGCATATTTGGGAGCTAAGAACAAAGTGATTTCTGCGAAGTCTTAAGGTGACTGTGCACTTCTGCCATAGTTCCTCCTGTGACTGTTGTGTTTCAGGTTGTGGGCACTTTTCACTTTACTTGTTATCTATCCAAGCTTGTCACTTGCTGCTGTACTGTGAAGGACACTGGTACAGTTCAGACATGATAGTGAGTGAACAGCATGACAGATCCACCCACACTAATCTCGTGAGGTTCAGTTTTCTTCACCATAAACAATGGACCATGATGCTTACTTTTACAGTGAGGATAGTAGCTTAAATGATATGATGGCTGGTATATATACACTATGACTAAGTTTAGTAGTTTATACCAAAAAATGCATGCTAACATTGTTTTTGTTGGTACATATCAAGAGAGTAAGGTCATCCCAGTTTTCACAATTGACCAGTGTGTTAATTCTATCTAACTACTCACAATGGAACTATTTTCCTTTGTTTAGAAGCATCATTTCATTTCTCACTTTGATAAAGATGTATAAACCCTTGATCAAGCTTGTGGGGCTAGACATACTCTATTCCTCTGGACTGTGTCTTAGTTTAGGGAGGTGGTAAATGTGTACTTCTGGTATAGTATATGATACCCACAGCAATAGTCTTAAACATGGGACCACAATTTAATATAGCAATAGGCTGCAGATATAGTGTTTTCTGTTTTTCACATAAAATCCATAGGTTTATATCATCTCAAGTCATATACTTCCAACATATGCAGATCAGTAGATCAGGCTTTTGTATTAACTGTACTGTCTAATGGCTAATCTTTTATAAATATGATGACCAGACTTCTGGACTTCAGCATTTCACACAAAAACTGGAAACTTGGACAATATTTGCTCCCATTGAGGTGTGTGAAGTCCACTTGTAGCTACATGGTACTCTTTTCAGAAGACTTGCATCATGAGTCATGATAAGTTTCATTACTACTGTGAGATGTATCCAAAGATATATAGATGCCTTCAGTTTTGTATTCCCTTCAAGGCCCCAATGTTCTTAAATTCTAGTTAGTGTATTGCATCTACATAAAGCCAATCTTAACACTATTATTAGTATGTGGATGATGCTAAAAGGACTTGTTCATATGACAGTATTTCTTTTCATCATCATTAATATACATCAAGTCATTATTCAATCTTAGGAAAGAAACAAAGCCTGAATTATGTCATGCCAGTTTCACAGAAGCATGCATAAAAAGTATACTCTATTGATGGGCTGCCAGACTTGGGATCCGAAGAAGCAATGATGCTCGGAGTCTGCAAACTCTTGTCTGAGTTTTAGAATCGTATGACAGGAGGACATCTGTGGTGTCTTACCTAGCAATTTGTAGGCAAGTCATATAAAACTAAATTACAACATTCTCTGACTAAAACTGTCTTCATGCAGTGTGTGAAAAACTTTATTAGGATTAGTAAACAGAAAATAGAACATTCTGTTATCTTACCTATATGTTGCCCATACATGTGGTAGAAGAAACTGAAACAATAAGCAGTGTTTGTAGGTCCATATGGGTTTTTGGGAGCTATGCTGAATACAGGACTGAGAAGTCGAGCTTTTTCGCCTTCTAGTCTGGGTCGAGATGTCTCAATATACATATAAAAACCTGAAAGTAGGAGAGGTAAGTGTTGAAGTACATTCTTATGAGGAAACATAAAATGTTATTGTTTGGATTCAAAGTAAAAGTTGATAATGTGGTTTAAATCTCATTTATAAAACCTTTGTGACTATATACAAATAATCACAACTTTAACAGGGAAAAAATGACATAAAGAACTGAGAGAAGTGATCATTTTAGAGATGAATTAGCACAAAAATAAATAATGACACACTGATCTCTCAGCTATATTTATCACTGTGGTGTGAGAAAACATCAATGACCACAAGCTTTGGAAATATCTGAATTGCTGATAGTATGCATAAAATACAGTGTTTTACCCTTTGATTCTCAAATACATAACTCACTGCCACCTTGCACTTCCTGTTGAGAACATTCCCAGCTATCCAGCTGCTGTGTGCACTGCTCTGCAAACCCTCCTACCTTCTTTGGAGCCACTGCGATCTGCATTGGGCCCTGTGTTAGGGGTGTATTTTGTATTTCTTGTTGCAGTACTTTGTTTGGTCCAGTCGAAATTATCAGTGTCATCTTGGGTGAATAGACAAATATTACCATCTTCAAATCCACAGTGAAATTCCCCTGTTAACACATTTTAATTAACATAATAAATATTAATTAGATCGAGCATTGTATTGTTTTATGAGGAAAAATTTCAATATTACAATGTAATAACAGTGCAGTCATGACATCAAAAACCTTAATGGCCATTATCACTAAATACAAAGCTATTATAATTCTGGTGAAAAAGAGTAATGATTTCATTAGCTTATTTTAATTTTACAAAGTAATTGGCTGTATTCTGACATTTCCATACGTACATACAATGCCCTTTGATCATCTCTCTCCCTCTCCCTGTGTATCCATCAATCCCCTTCTGCTTTTCTCTTTCATATTTCAGAACAGAGAGGGAAAACAAGGAATAAGAGACCATGATAAATGAAGACATGAGAATAGGAAGAAGGAAAGTGCTAGAGAGATCCACAGAAATCCACAAAGATACCCCCACAATAGACTACTAGCAATGGTCGAGAGGCAGCCCAAAATGAACTACTCTGGTGATGGGATGGCCAAACACCCTAATAGTCGTGCCAGAAACCCCATCTAAGGACTGAGGGAACTGGATGCAGAGATCCACGGCTAGGCACTGGGTGGAGCTCCGGGAGTCCAATTGGTGAGAAAGAGGAGAGGGTTTGTATGAGCGAGAATTGTTGAGACCAAGATTGGAAAAAGCACAGGGACAAATAGCCAAATGAATGGAAACACATGAACTATGAATCAATAGCTGAGGAGCCCCCAACTGGGTCAGGCCCTCTGGATAAGTGAGACAGTTGATTAGCTTGATCTGTTTGGGAGGCATCCAGGCAGTGGGACCAGGACCTGTCCTCAGTGCATGAGCTGGCTGTTTAGAACCTGGGGCTTATACAGGGACACTTGGCTCAGCTGGGGAGGAGGGGACTGGACCTGTCTGGACTGAATCTACCAGGTTGAACTCAATCCTCAGGGGAGTCTTTGCCCTGGAGGAGATGGGAATGGGGTGGGCTGGGGGGAAGGCAGGGGGGGGGGGTGGGGAGTGGGGGGGAGAGGTGGGAGAGCAAGGGAATCCATGGCTGATATGCAAAATTAAATTATAAAATAAAATAAAGAAAAAAGAGAATAAAATCTTCTTTTACGTTAAACCAGTATCTTACTACACAATTAAGGCCCAAATCTTTTGTTTAGAAGCAACCAGATAACTCAAAATAATAAAACAATTCACTTGTTTTTGACTTATGGCTGGAGAATTTTCCTAACTTTTTTTTTTTTTTAATACATTGGAACCGTTGAGGCGGAAGTGTCAATTAGGAAATAAAAGCTTCTAACATGGAAGTGGTGGCACAAACTCATAATCCCAGCGCCCAGGAGCTGTGGTAAGAGAACTGCCATGGCTTTCAAGCGCACAGTAAATCCCAGGGCAGACTTTACTATAGAGAAGACCTTGTCTTAAGAAACAGAAGTAAAGAAAATGAGACTTCTGAGTTCACCTGGTGGCCTTTTAAACATGCGCACCTTGAGCGTGTAATTTTTTATGTCCTGTCCTCTAGCTCTGCTCTTCTACACACACACATCTGCGAAGCCGTACGTTCGCTTGGGGCAGGCGACAGTAAATTGCTTTTGAAGCGGTCATCACTCATGCTTGAGTTGAACGTGGTTCGCCAGATGTGTGAAATCCACTGGAGGTGAATTTTATACAATAACTCTACGAAGAGCCTGAGGAAGGACTGGGAGGTTTTGATGCCTGCCATATGCTGAGTTCAGAAACAACCTGAGCTCAGAGAGAGAGAGACTTTTTCAACTTGCTGTTAAATATGTGTGCTTGTGATTTTATAATAGAAGATTTTCTTACCGGGACATACCCTGCTTCAAAAAGTGTATACACAGATGAGCTGGTGTGTTCCATCAGAAACACAAGCTGGGTGCACCAATGGAGAAAAGATTAAATGTGGTGCATGTTCTTCCATTCAACAAAGTAAGGACTCTGTAAAATCTGAGGACTCTTCACCATGAGTTCACAAATGAGGAAACTTTAGTTCAGTCAGCTTTCCTTGTTAAAAATAAAGTCCGCACACACCCCAGCTTCGCTGAAGTTCACAGAGAAAAACATCTAAAGACTCTCCCACTGGAGTCCCTAGCACCCTCGCAAAGGGGTAGACCCATTAGGTATCTGCAGGAAAGGGGAACTTGGTTGGGATCATATACCTAACGAGTTAAGTGAAGCCTTTTTCCTTACGTTTAGTATGCCTTTGTTGGATTAAATAGTTACTGTGTATCTGTATATTTATTTATAGTCTGTCTAGATGGATATGTTCTAGAAAGACAATAGTCTACATAAAATATTTTATTCAAAAACTATTTTTATTTATGTAAGTGTGTGTGGGTGTGCCTGTCTGTGTGTGGGTACCTTCAATGTGTGGGTGCTCATGGAACCAGAAGAGCTGGAGTCAGAGGCAGTAGTGAACTACCTGATAAAGGGACAGGGAACTGAACTCAGCTCCTTTGGCCGAGCAGTAAATGGTCTTAACCAACAGACCATTTCTCCAGCCCAACACCACGTCTTTCAGGCACATATTTCTGGTACTGATTTTATACGAAAGAAGACAGGATCTTAGGATGCTATCAGTAAAAAAAAATATAACATTTGTGACTGTATGGTGGCAATATACATACTACTTTCTCCTGCTGTCTTTTAGGAACAATGCATAGTTCCTTTACTTGAGAGTTTTGATCCCAAAGGAGACTGTTTATTAGGTCTTCAGTTGTTTAGTGTCATATTTTACTTTTGAACAATTCACAAAGATACCCCCACAAAAGACTGCTGGCAATGGCCGAGAGACAGCCCGGACTGACCTACTCTGGTGATGGGATGGCCAACACCCTAACAGTTGTGCCAGAAACCCCATCCAAGGACTGAGGAATCTGGATGCAGACATCCACGACTAGGCCCCGGGTGGAGCGCCGGAAGTCTAATTATCGAGAAAGAGGAGGGTTCATATGATAGAGATTTGTTGAAACCAAGGTTGGATAAAGCACAGGGACAAATAGCCAAACGAATGGAAACAAATGAACTATGAACCAAAGGCTGAGGGGCCCCCAACTGGATCAGGCCCTCTGAATAGGTGAGACAGTTGATTGGCTTGATCTGTTTGGGAGACATCTAGGCAGTGGTACCAGGTCCTGGACTCGTTGCATGAATTGGCTGTTTGAAACCTGGGACTTATGCAGGGACGCTTGGCTCAATCTGGGAGGAGGGGACTGGACCTGCCTGGACTGAGTCTATCAGGTAGATCTCAGTCCTCGGGGGAGGCCTTGATCTGGAGGTGGTGGGAATGAGGGTTGGACTGGGGGGATGGGGAGGGAGGCAGGAAGGGGGAGAATAAGGGAATCTGTGGCTGTTATGTAGAACTGAATAGTATTGTAAAATAAAATAAAATGTCAAAAAAAGAACAAATGGAAAGATGTATTTCAGAATTCTTGCAAAAACTTATGCTCTGTGTTATTTAAAATGAAATACAATGGGGCTGGAGAGATGGCTAAGCAGTCAAGATTACTGGTTGCTTTTCCAGGGGATCAAGTTTGGTTCCCAGATCGCACATGGTGGCTCACAACCATCTGAAACTCCAGTCCCAGGGAGCCTAATGCTGTCTTTTGTCCTCTGACGAAACGGCACATACATGGTACACAGATACACATCCAGGTGAAACACTCATACATATCAAATAAACACATTTTTTTAAAAAAAGATCTGGTGAAAACCTTTTTAAAAAAATAAGTAAAGTGAATTTTTTTTTTTGGGCCAGGGGCGGCGGCGGGGGGTGGGGTGGGGGGTGTTTCAAGACAGGGTTTCTCTTTGTGTGGCTCTGGCTGTCCTAGAATTTGCTCTGTAGACCAGGCTGGTCTCGAACTCAGAGACCTGCATGCCTCTGACTCCCGAATGCTGGGATTAAAGGTATAGTAAAGTGATGTTTTAACAGTATAAAATAATTTTATTATTATTCTATCACTTTAAGTTGGATAATTACACATATATGAAAAGAAGATTGTTCATATAAAGTTTATTCAATAAAGAATATATGGAAGATAATGCACATTCACTGAACTACATAAACAGCAAAAGTCACTGTAATATTGGATATTAAAAGGTCTCACAACTATGAAAAAAGTATAGGAATTTTTCAAAGACAGAAAAGTAATAGTTCACTACATCTTCAAATTTTTTATAGCTTTCTGATTATAACATGATTTTCTCAAACTGATGGTTTGAATGAGAATGGCCAACATAGCTTGATATGTTTGAATGTTTAATCCTCAGTTGGTGGAACTGTTTGAGGAGGATTAGGCAGTGTCGCCTTGTTGGAGGAGGTATGTTACTGGGGGTGGGCTTTGAGGCTTCATTCCAGTGTGTGCGCCACGCCCCTGCACCTCATGCTTATAGATCAGATGTAAGCTTTCAGCTACTGCTCCTGCCTGCTGCCATGTTACCTGCCTGATAGTTATAGACCCTATGACCCTCTGGAACCATGAATCTAAATTAAATGTTTCTTTTTATCTGTTGCCTTGGACCTGGTGTCTCTTTTGTAGCAAAAGAAATGTAAGTAAGACAAAGATATGCAAAGAAAATTTAAATATTCTGCATTACATGATCTCCAACATTTTAATGTATTTCCCCAAATCTATTCAAATATGGTGAAGAACTAATTTAACAAATCATAAATAAGAAGCCTGGAACTCCATAACCTACATGTATCAACTGATTTTCTTTCTGCAGTGCCTTAAAATCTGCAAAAATCTAGCTTTACACTGAAAAATAAAGTGTTCTTAAGGACTGATATTGTGATTAGGTTTTCATGGTAAATCCTCTTCTTATTTCAAAATGGTTTGCAGAGACAGAGACATATGATGGCTAATTGTCATTGCCTACGTGACTAGATTTAGAACCACCTAGGAACACATCTTGGTATTTTCTCTTAGGTTTTTAAATAGAGGTTTAATGGAGGAGAGAATATCCACTCTGAATATGGGTAGTACCACCTCATGGGCTTGGGTTATGACTGAAAAGGGAAAAGGGGAGAACTAGACAGACATCAGCATTCATATATTTCTTTCCTGACTTCAGATCCCAGAGCCATGCCTTCCTGCCATAACCGACAATATCCTTATTATAGCATGAGAAAATATGAGTCCTGCTCCCCCCAAATTGCTTCTACTAGGTAATGAATATGGGATGTTTTTATGTGTGGCACTAATTTTTAGGTTATACACACTAATATTCATCGTGTATTTATAAAATTTAATGTAAAGCAAAAATTCAGAATTCAAGATCAAAACCAAATCAAATATACTAAAGTTAAATGTACATAAATTTATTGATTTGTGTCCAGATATGGTGATGCATTGTTTGAAATACCTGTACTCAGGTGGTGAGGATGATATGAATATGAGTCTATGTTCTAGTTTACTCTAGACTATATAGTGAAACACTGTCTTTAATAAATAACTATGTTAAAGTAAAATAATATCACGTATAGGGAAAGACTCAAATACAAACTTAATAAATAGTCAAGGGTTGATGTGATGGTTCATTGAGTAAAAGCACTTGCAGCATATGTATGGTGACCTGAATTAAACCCATGATACCATGGTAGAAGTAGATAATTCACTATGGCAAGTTGTTCTCTGACCTCCCTAGATGCAAACTGGAACACTTGTACCCCACAACACACACCATGTACACACATTATGCGTACACATGCACTAACAACAATAATTATTGCTACAGGAAATGGATTTAATAAGTAACCTTAGTCTTTATGAGGAAAAGACAGCAAATCAAAGGAACAAGACAGCAAAAGGAAACACACAGGGGCATCTCACAAAAAATGAAATGAATCTCACAGTTGGTTGCAGATAAGTGAATAGGAACCAGTTTGGGAAAATGACTTCATGTTTCCTAATTTATTAAATGTATAAGCATCTGTTATCAGTATTAAATTATTTATTTTTAATTCTCTGATAAAACCATATCCTCTGAACTTTGAAGTGCATACACAATGCCAGTTTTACTGGTTTAAAATCATTGTTTTATACCATGTAAGAACAGTTTTTACCTAATCTTTGTATATTTATATGTAGTTCATTTTCCTTCACTATGTAATATAATATGATTTTTAAGTGAAAATAATATACTTACTCAAATGAGGATTTACAGGTGCTGAAAGAAAGAAAGAAAGGAAGAAAGAAAGAAAGAGAGAAAGGAAGAAAGAGAGAAAGAAAGAGAGAAAGAAAGAAAGAGAGGAAGAAAGAAAGAGAAGAAGAAAGAAAGAAAATGTTAGCAAGGCTTAGATGTCACTTATAAACAAAAGTTTAATTAGTCTACTCAGAATCCCATAGTTTCTTCTAAACCTAATAATGGCAGTGTATAATTATATCCACAATCCATTTTGTTCTATGGGATGGACTGCATTTTACTTTTAGCTTATATTAAGAACATCAAAGTACCACAAAAAATCAATGTTAAAGGTCACAGGGGAGTAGCTCATTTTCTAAGAAATGGCATTGTTAAACATTTATACCTCAACCAGTGCTAAACAAACCCAGAAATCAAAGAGAAGTCATTGGTAAAATAATTTATAATCTAGATGAATTAAGAATGCAAGCAATTATTCAACAGAGGTTATATTTATATTTTCTGTTACATCAAGTTTTACTGAAAACAATATGTCATATAGAAATAATGAAATTCTCAAATCATGTCATGTGTCTGAAACAAATACATCAATACCACTTCATTTAATTAAATTAAAATACACACATACACACAGAAATTTCAGAACATAGATTTGCCATATCTTAAGGGACATGATACATAGTACTTTTTGTGCACAAAACAAGCAAAAAAAAATCTTTGAAAAAAACAATTATGTCTTCCATAAAAATGACATCTGCTTTCTACTGAAGGGGAAAATAAAGATTTCAAGTTTTACTAACAAGTAAAAAGAAATATTTCTAATCTGGATGTAGCAGTCTCACTGATTCTTCCTAGAAATACAATGGCTGGTAATATAACTTGCGAAAATTCTGTTTTTATCATTTTTTAAATCATTTTGCTAGTGTCTAGCTAGTCACCTTGTTGAACTTGCAAATTCCTAATAAAGTAAAACACACAAACATGTAGAATAAGCATGTTCACCCTTACACAAGAACATTTAGACTAGTGGTTCCCAACCTGTGGGTTGCAACCTTTTTAGGGGATCAAATACCCTTTCACAGGGGTCGCCTAAGAGCATCTGCATATCAGATATTTACATTAAGATTCATAACAGTAACAAAATCACAATTATGAAGTAGCACCAAAAAATAATTTTATGGTTGGGGTCACCTTAATATGAGAAACTGTATTAAAATAAATATTCCACAAAATTTCTTACACAAATAAATACTTGTGAAATTTAAAAACAACAACAACAAAAAAAAAAAACCCAAAAAACTACTCACCAGTATATTTGATGACACGAATTGTTGAATCTCCTTCACCAAATTTAGTGAGAGGAGTCAGTCGGACTTCATAGGCCTCTGGTTTAATTAGTTCTGTCAGGTTATATGTAATGAGTTCTCCCTTTTGAATATTCCCATTTATTTTAATCTCCTGTTCCCACCAACGTTGCTGTCCAGCCTGAAATCAAAATGATTGAATAATAACCCTTATTTAAAGTTACTTGCTTTGTTCTAAGAAAACAAAAAGCAGTCTGGAAGTTTTTTAAACTTCATTTTAGGAGTTTATTAAACATCTCATATTTTTATACATATACCGTATATCTATATTTTACACATATACTTTATATATATATATATATATATATATATATATATTTTGTAAAGACTTTTGCAGATGTTTCTTGCGAAATTATTAGAGGTTGATTAAATAGACTAAATTGATTTTAACGAAACATTTTATATTGAGAGTTGGAACGTTCAAACAAAGACCATCATTTGATGCTTGAAGACGGGTATATAGAACTACATATAACATAAATTATTTATGGTGTATTAGATTCTTAAACAACTGAATCCTCTTTATCATATCAACAAATATAGGTAGTGCACACCTAATAGTTTCCAGGATGAATTGCAGGTATGAGAGTTATAATGCAGAGAAGAGTATTTCCTTAGTTTTTTAAGTCCATTGAAAACAGAGATATAATGAAGACTGAAATAAAACTAACTATAAAATGGTTTCCAAAAATTATACATGAAATTAAAAAGTTAAAGGGGATCCAGAGTGATACAGTAAATGCCAGTGGAAAGGATCTAGTTTCTAAGTAATCAGAGGGTAGTTTCATAAGAATGTTTAGTAGTTAATAATATAAAATCAGGTATCTGCCATTGGGTTTGGGAGGACACACATATCAATGACTTTGAAATAAATTGTTCCAGTTGAGCAAAAGGGATTAAAACACCACTGTAGCAAGCTGAAAAAGGAAGGAGTATTATACAGCATTCTACACTGAACACACAATGCTCAGATAATTTTATGATTAGTTTTTGGGGGCACTAGGTACTGAACTCAGGGCCTCACCCAGGATGGCAAGTGCTCTCTGAAGTACATTCTCCAGCCTAGGTCAGACAATTTTACAGAGCAGAAATATAAGTTACCAGCAAACCAAATGTGATCTTAGTAAAGACTCTTTCAGAGATTTATTTTAAAAAGGCCTCTTCTAGTGATTCCATTCTGTTAAAATTTTTAAAAATTAAAAATAACCCAGTAGAGCAGTTGAGAAAGGAAAGCTGTTCATACACGGAACAAATTCATTAGTTCCTGTCACACGACTTCCCATTTGGTTTGTCCCTCAATAGTCCAGAGTTGTTCAACATGAGGAAGTCTGCTAAATGAAGAAGAATACTTTTCTTTTATACATAAAAACACTGAACACATTTCTACATTTATTTATAGAGAAGCTATTAATTGGCTAGAAACAAGAACTATGAATGAAATTGAACATAAATCCATAAGATGCTTTATTAGTAATGTTCATTTATTCCAACTGTTTATTTTGGAATTGAAAATAAGAAAAGAATATTGAGTCTTATCTAGTCACAAACAGAAACAAGGAAGCATGTAGTAATTGAGAATGCGGGCTTATCTGTATATATATAGAATCATCTGGTCTTTCAATATCTCAGATTCTCTCTCCTTCCCTTTATATGTATATTTGATTTTCTCTCATACAAATAATATCTCTTCTTAATTTCTGATTCATGTGACTGATTTTTATTAACAATTTAAATTTTTATTAATTAAATTATTGCATTTTATTCATTAGAGTTCTTGATAGGTAATCATGGATTTATTTACCATTGCAAGTTGGGGTTTTGTTTATTTAACATATTTTGCTGGCTTATCCAATTCTCATGGATTTTTTTATTCTTCTTAAATCCAATAATATAGATGATAGACAGATGAGAGGTAATAGGCATAGTTTATTTATAATACTTTCTGTTTCTGTCCATACCTAAAATATATTATATACGTTCTTTTTTGTGGTAATATATGCCCTTAATATTTTTTTATCTATGTGCTGATCATGTGACTTAAAATTCTCCTGCTGGGGGATGTTTGGGGCTAAAGGCAAAGACACAGTTTTCTAGAGACATACCTTTGTTCTGACATGCTCCCAAGGGCATCAAACAAAGCCATTCACTCTTTGACTGTGAAATCCTTTGATAGTTCAGATAAAGGTGGAGAAAATTCCCTAGTTTCCACTGGTCTTAAGTTTTCATTTTTGTTTGTCTCAAAGTATTAAGAATCAAAGTTTAGGTTTGCCTTGGTGGTGAGCAGCTGAGTACAACATAAGAATTTCACTTACTAATGTGGATGGTGGATTTACAAATTTTCACATGGTAATGCTCTCTCTCATTTCTGTACACATATATGTATGAATTCCTTAAAAATACAAATATTTGTGTATATATTCTATCCATATACTATATAGGTGTGCATATATGTGTGTGTACATACATTCAGATAAATACTGATTTGTGGGGTTGGAGAGATGGCTCAGGTATTAAGAGCACTGGCTGTTCTTCTAGAGGACTTGGGTTCAATTCCCAGAACCCACATGGCAGCTCACAACTGTCTGTGACTCCTGTTCCAGAGGATCTGACACCATCACACAGACATACATGTGGACAAAACACTGATGTACATAAAATACAAATAAATACATTGATTTAAAAAAATACTGATTTGTTCTCCAAAGGTAGATTAATCCTAACTTGAAACTTGGACTCCTATTGTTCTTATATTTCTACTGTTAGATTTCTGAGAATGACAATCTCTAATATGTGTATTGTACATGTTTCTCACTAATTTTGTCTCAAAAAGCACAAACAAAATACTGGAATTAAAAAGAGACTATTTCATATGTAATTACTGGAGCTGTATTCAGAAGAGAGAAGAGAATATGCTATCGAAGAATTATGTGTACAGAATAAAAGCATATATAAGATCCTTATTTAAGTATTACACAGAGAAGTCAGTCTCAAGAAATTCAACCACTTAACCTTAAAAGACAAAATTGGAGGTCTGTTGTGTGATTGTACCTCCTAGAAATGTCAGGGAAACTACACCCATGAGGTCTCATCACAATGGCTGCCTAAATAAGATCCAAAGGACAATGACACAAATAAATGTGTTAACATGGAGGGGGATCTTTCACAGAGTCCCATCCTAGACAAAGAACTACAGACAACTAAACAGCTAAGAAATTCTGGGAGTGGGAGAAACAATCTTCCCTAGAGAATAGCACATCAAATGGATATACACTACCAAATGGCTAGTCCTGAAAAATCTATACATACAAGTATTATTGTACATACTGATCAGACTATATTTGCATACTTAGAAGTATATAAGTATATATTACACACACACACACACACACACACACACACACACACACACACGTAAAAAAATAGGCCAGAGGCCATGGATCTGAGGACGTTAAATGGAGGAGGTACATGGAAGGAGTTGGAGAAAGGAAAGGAAAAGAGGAAAATGATGTAGTTTTATTTAAATTTAATAAATAAATACATAGGAATAGAAAAGACAAAATATAGGAGATAAATATGACTATGTTTAAAACAGAAGCTCACAATTGATCATTGTACAGATAATGATAGTCAGTAGAGTGCTCAGCCATATAGGATATCTATAAGCCCCGCCCCTTCTCAAGGCTCTGAGCCTATTGCAGAAGATTGTAAAAGCCATAGATCTGGGAGCATCAGAAGAAATAGCGTCTTCTGGAAATAACAACACCTCTGAACTCTTCAACTCACAGCAGCCCTGTGTTTGCCTGCCCAAGGGTCTATAGGATTGCAGTCAACCTTCCAATATGAATGGTGGAGATGTTTACAATCCCCACCACTGGCAGAGTAACTATGGATATTTGAGAGTTTCTAGGGAAGGAGGGTGATTTTTTTTAAGGTTGTAGCCTCTGGTAGGTCAATGCCTCACCCATTAATATAAGGCCAGGACAAACTGGATCTTGTTGGTTAATTCAAAAAAAGACAAGAAATTGGGAGGAGTTCGAGGTAGGGGTGAATTTGGAAGGAGTCAGTGGCAGCAGGAAGGGTGAAGATGATCAAAATGCATTGTATGAAACTCTCAAAAAATTAAGAAAATCACAGATTTAAGAAGTCTGTTCTCAGGGGGGAGGGCCTTGTTCCTGCCTCAACTTGGTATGCCAGACTTTGTTGACTCCCCAGGGGTGCCTTTACCCCCTCTGAGGAGTGGATGGGGGGTGGGATGGGGGAAAGGTTAGAGGGAGAAGGGGAGGGAGGGGAACTGGGGTTGGTATATAAAATGAAAAAAAATTTAAATAAAAATATCTGCTCTCCTTAACATCCCCCATTACAGAGGGATGTATAAACCTGAGCTTTGAATAAACTGAATATATTAAAATTCCTGTAAGTAAACAAGAAATAGAATTCAGTAGCAAAATGACTCAGATAATAGGTATTTCACAGATGAAGAAACTCCAATAAAACTAATTAATTAGGGAAAGCTAAGGCCTCACAATGAATCAATGAAATAGAAATTAAATCCACATTATTTCACATAATCAGATAGACTGAAATATTTTAAAAAGTCACAGTATTAAAGTTTGGTGCAGCTATAAAACAATACGAAACTTAAAGGATGTTAGAACCTATGTGTAAGGAATGGATGTGAGTGTAACTCCACCTCACAAACAAATCAGACTGTAAAGGTGTTGTGGATTCACACAGGAGGCCAGGAAACGTTGACTCTGTATAGGATTTATGACACAGTAGACATCCATGATAAGCTACCTGATAGCCTTGGTTCTTCTTAGTTCCATAACTTATGGGATAACAAATCACCAGGTTGATGGCACATATGCTTTGGTATGTCTAAGGACCCTGAGTTTTAAAATCCTTATGTCGTATAACAGACAGCAACCAAACCTATCCAACATATTTATATCTTTACTATAGTGGACATCAAATCTTCCCTGAACTCCAGAAAGTGAAACTATTCTCTGAGGAAGTTTGCTGTGCAAATGAACTTGAAAAAAATATGGCTATAATAAAATGACAAAGTGTGTCTGTCCACAAAAGACATGCAGAAACACATGTCTATAAAAATCTGTCTTG